GCACCATCAGTTTTCTTCACCACATTTGCTTATGCACCCTCTTTGTCTTCAGAGATCATGTTGGGAAGGTGAACATCTCTGAGTGCCAGATTATTAGAACAAAGTGTTCTTGTGTTGAGGGAGTACTTGAGTAGAGGCCCAATATCCATCTGTAAAGCTTATTCTTATACACATAAGAATCTCCCTGAATTTGTTTCTCTAGTTTACCTGAACTAACACTATCCTCAAAACTCGACCAATAAGCAATAGTGTGATACATGAAAAAGATACTACAGTTGTCAAGGGTCTAATTTTACTACTTGGGTCTCCATTTAAGGCTCATGGAAGCAACAGTCAAGAAAGCAAATGATGTATTGCATTGATATGCTAAGGTGTGCTGCCTCATGCCATGGTATTTTCAATGACCTCCTATGCATGTCAGAACTTGGCAATAAAAAAAGAAGACTGTAGAAAAACTGAACACATTTGAATCATGGTTTTGGAGAAGAATACCACAAGTACCATGGACTACTAGAGTTGGAAAAGGTGTTGACTTCACTGACTTTATCTTATGTAGGTCTCCAGGTGAAGAAAACATTGGTAAAATAAGACAAAATTATAAGGTCTGTGCAATCTGTGTACATCAGGTGCCGCTGGGAGAGATTTGAAGACAGTACAGAGGTGAGTGTAGCATCAGTAGGACAGGACCTCAGGGACTGAAGGCTTTCCTCCTTTTAGAGTAGAATATTTGTCTTTCATAATTAGCCCATATGGGTCTGTCCCCTCAGGGGCTTGGGCAGAATACACCGCTTTACTAACTCATTGTCTGTTAATGCAAAAGAGTGGGATGAGGTGGAGTCTGAAAAGAAGTATCAGAATCAAAACTGCCAGAAATCTTGGCATGCTTCCCTGGTCAACTTTATCTATACTGGTCTGGAAAAGCTGCTAGAAAAAAAACCAAACCCTTCGTGGGGAGGAGATGAGCCAGGTAGGGTGCAGTGTAGCAACGATGAAACATACAACTTTCCCCTAGTTCTTAAATGTCCCCTCCCCCACTATCATGATCCCAATTCTACCTTACAAATCTGGCTAGACCAGGGGATGTACACTGGTACAGATAGGAACTGGAAACACAGGGAATCCAGGACAGATGATCCCCTCAGGACCAGTGGTGAGAGTGGTGATACTGGAAGGGTAGAGGAAGGGTGGGGTAGGGGAACCGATTACAAGGATCTCCATATAACCTCCTTCCTTGGGAGTGGACAACAGAAAAGTAGGTAAAGGTAGACGTCGGACAGTATAAGATATGACATAATAATAATAATTTATAAATTATCAAGGGTTCATGAGGGAGAGGGGAATGGGGAGGGAGGGGAACATGAGGAGCTGATACCAAGGGCTCAAGTAGAAAGCAAATGTTTTGAGAATGATGAGGGAAACAAATGTACAAATGTGCTTGACACAATGGATGTGTGTGTGGATTGTGATAAGAGCTGTATGAGCCCCCAGCAAAATGATTTTTAAAAGAAAAGAAAAGAGAACTAAGGTGAGATGGCCTCCGCCAAGGTGATTCCAATCACCTGTTTCGCACTGCAGGACTTGACAATGAATAAAGCAGAACAAAGCAAAAAATAAAATAAAAGGACCACCTGCCCTGAAGAGATATCTGAAAACCAGAGCTGGGCTCACATAAGAATCCAGATTAGCTCCTTGGACCCAGAAGGGACTAAAACCTGCTGCCTTTGAGTCAATCTGGACTCCTAGCAGCCTCAGATGAACAGAGTAGAATTGCTCCATGGAGCATTCTTGACTGTTGCTAGTCAAACACCAACCTTTTGAGTCTCACGAAACGAAATGAACTCAGACTGGTGTGGGTAAAGTTCATCAGAGAAGCATTCAAGTTCTTGGCCGGTTTTGACTCTGATACTTTTCCCACACTCAATCTCATTTTAGGGACCTTCGAATAAGAATAAGCTAAGGTTAAATTTCCATCCTGCCCACACTGTGTGAATGCTACCTTCCTGCCTCCCAGGGAATGAGCAAAAATGATGCCAAGATTCTGGGTTCCAGACACAGAATAGGAGGCAGACCTGGTAAAGCTCCCAAAAGAAAAGTTCTGGAAAACAAACAAGGGATAAAATTTAATTTCTAAAAATTGATAGCAGCACCTGCCTGACCTCCAGATCAACATATGCAAATATAACAGAATTTCTCCAAGCAAGACAGAACTGATTTGTTCCTTTTTGGGATAGGGTCACCTTTGGGGCATTACTGAACATATCAAGGCAAATTTTCACTTGCAGATGACTAGATATTTAATGATTAAAAAAAACACCCCAATAACCCACAACCATATGATTATCCGTTCAGATTTCCACTTTCTATAAAAATATGTGATGTATATGTAAAAGATTCACATCACTTATAATCATTGAAATAGCAATGATTATAGATAATAGAATTTGAACTTTTTAAAGTGTTCCACCACACCTTCACTGTCAGTTTGTCAGACTGTGGTGTCTTGTGTGTTGCTAGGTTGTTGGCAGCTATACCCACAGGGTAGTGTGTCCTAGCAGTGACAAACTGATTGATGGGTGTGATAGAGAAGTCTAATCATTTGTGCTTAATTAGCTTAATATGAAGCAACAATTTAAGAGTACCAGACTGAATTAGCATATCAGTTAATAGTTGTGTGTTTAGGATGTTATTTAATTTAACCCTAAATCCCAGTTTCCTTTGTACAACTAGGATTATGTCAGTCTCATAAAAGACCTATTGACATGAGTTTTCTGACTAATAGTTAGCCTACATAGGTTTTTTGAGGCTGTACATGTTTTTTGGAGCAGACAGCCTCAGCTTTCTCTCAAGGATCAGTTTGTAGTTTTGAACCCTTGACCTTCTTATGGTTAGCAGCCCAGCACCTAACCCCAAACACCTCCACAGCTCCTTTGTCAACCTCATAGCCTAAGTAAAGAGGTTAGTTAATGTAGCGTAATCTCTTTGAGATATTATATCCTCCAAGCCGGCAGAAGCTTAAATAGTTAAAAAAGAGTTCATGGGGGTGGAGAATACATACAGTTGCTATGTTGTTTTCAAACACTTCTCTTGCTTCTTCATAAACACAAATTTCTTCATAGCATTCTTTTTCCAAATTTCCCTGAAATATCTCTTCCAAAAGATAGGAGCCAGCACGCTTCCATCTTACCAGAACTTCATTTGCTTTTGAGGCAGTAAGAAATACTAGAATAAGATAAGCATGTAGATGGTATCAGAATTAAAAGACTTACCCAAGTCTTGAGATATCTGCTTTCCAAAATATTCTGGAATACAATGAAGTGCTGTAACGGCCTGTTTTCTGTCTTTGGCCCATTTCCCCTGCTCCCACTAGACTCAAAGGTCCATAGGACACAGGGTCAAGTCTTATGTCCACTATTGTTTGTTTATGGTCAGCCCTAGTGTCTGACACATGGAAGGTCTGCAATTAGCTTTTGTTGAATGAATGAGCAACCCTTTTGAATTATGTGGAGCGGGCAGATAAAGTTATGCTTGATGCATGAAGAATATCAGGCTCAGTGAGTGTTTAGTTATCTACTGCTACTATAGGAACAACAACAACAAAAACAAAATACCACAAGTGAGTGGCTTTAAAGAATAGA